GGACGATACAAAGTTACAAAAAGAAGAGGTTTTCTTGCTTTTCTTTCCTCCCATTTACTGATAAAATATTTTTAAAATGCAATAACAGAACTAGAGATGGACTGATGCTCTGGCCGGCCATTATTAGCCTTTATACGATATGTGCACATCTCTGTAAGTTCATTAGTGTATTTAGCAGCCATGCATTTAGATTATGTAAGGTGCATGCATTGCAGCTCCCTCCATGTTTTATCCATTGGATTTTTTAATATGTGTTTCTATTTGTTTGAATTGAGACGTGCATTTATTTATTTTTATCATTTTTATCATGTAAATGGAGAAAGAGAAGCAATATCAGACTGAAAAAATCGACAACAGATAATGGGGATCAGTTGAAAGGTACCGGTATCGGAATCAGCCTTAAAAAAGCTGCATCGGTCGATCTCTAAACAGACCTTTATTCTGAGTGAAAACCTCGATGAGAGCAGGAATTATAGCCGCTCAGTTTGGTTCTGATTCTAAAGATTTTGACGGTAATCTCGCTTCACAGAAACAGCCAAGCATGACGGGGGGGAAGCGGGACGTTCGGGCTTGTTTTGCACCCACAGGTCTAGAATTAGACTAGAAACAATGTGGAGTCATCTGTCTGAGATCTGAAGCTTGGTCTGGATGGACTTAGCTTTTCTCTTCTATATGATAAAACTTTTAAATTTGCATTAAACACTGTCTAGAAATAAAGGCCTGACTGTGTGTCCGTGTGTCCTTAGTTGCACGGCTACAGAGGGAAGGATCCCCTCGGCCTGCAGATTTTCATCGGTACTGCGGACGAGCGCATCCTGAAGCCTCACGCTTTTTATCAAGTCCACCGAATCACCGGCAAAACCGTCACCACCAACAGCTACGAGAAGATCATCCACGGCACAAAGGTGCTGGAGATCCCGTTGGAGCCAAAGAACAACATGAAAGCCATGTAAGCGGAATCCAACGCTGGATACCAGGCGACCGCTGCTGCTTCCAGGTTTGCTAACGTTTTGTTTTCCTTCCCCTGCAGAATCGACTGCGCCGGCATCCTGAAGCTCAGGAATGCCGATATCGAGCTGAGGAAAGGCGAGACGGATGTGGGTCGGAAAAACACCCGAGTTCGCCTGGTGTTTCGTGTTCACATACCCCAACCTGGAGGTCAGCACGTCTCTCTGCAAGCAGCGTCGCATCCCATCGAGTGCTGTAAGTGCTTAATAAATCTACCATCCATGCTATCGTCGCTGCGCAGTGAGGTCAAAATGCTTGTTAAAAAAAAAGTAATACAAAGTAAACACCATTTAAAAAAAAGGGAACCTACATTTGGACGGACTGCCCAGAATCCAGAGCACAAAGCTCCTCTTCATGCGCTCAGGGCCTCCGTCCAGGCGCTGTCCGCTGCAGGTTAGAGGACCTGTTTGTATTTACTCAGCTCTGAAGCCTGTGTTTGGGTACATCAGTGCATGTGTACACAGAGGTATTAAGGGGCTGGGTGTAATCTCAGCTCAAACAAAAAGGCTCCTCATTCACCTGGATCAACAGCTTGTCAGCTGCGATGAACCGGCCACGACATTGACAAACGACATGATGTAAAAGGTCTCGGCGTGGAGCGGCGGCTGCAGGACGGACAAGAAGTGACGTAGCTGCGTGCGTCTGGTGACATTCGATCTGTCCGATTGTGTCATCCTCTTTCCTTTCAGCAGTTGTGAATTATAAGAGGAACAAGTCTTACTAAATACTACTTCCTTTAAAGAAGTTATAAATGAGCCGTTGTAAAGCAGCTGTGTAATGATATTACAATGAGTTTTCTCTGACTGTGAACTTTAGTCAGGATCACATGCTGTGTGTTTAAAGGTTTATGCAACGCTGTTCAAAGGTGAAAACATGATTCAATTCAGTTTATTTCTATAGCTTCAATTAACACGTCATCTCAAGGCACTTTACAGTTCAACCAGATCATCCAGTCAGATTGATTCAAAGTTTTCTATCTAAGGAAAACCAGCTGATTGCATCGATTCATTGATTCGAAGACAAATCCCTCACACTAAGCATGCTTGTAGCGACAGTGGAGAGGAAAAACTCCCTTTTATCAGGAAGAAACCTCCAGCAGAACCAGGCTCAGTGTGAGCGGCCATCTGCTGAGGCCGACTGGGGTTCAAGGAGACAGAAGCAGACATAGAAAAAGCAGGATTCAATTCAACTTGTTAACG